AGGGGCTCCTGGCCGTACTACTAGGAACAAGAAGCTACTAGGAGCAACAGAATGACATCGTTTCCAGCCAAACGAAGCCCACGGGCCGTCTGAAGCCCATCAGGGCCCAAGACGGAGCGCTGAAGAAGAAGCGCGTTCTCAGATCCAAGAGGCGGTCTTTGGATAATGCTTCATATTTGGTGGCACGTCCCAATCAACAGTGTGCAATTTGAGCTCCCACTTTTGAAAGAGCTTCTCAATCTTGGCTGTCATGTGTTTGGCATCTGATTTGAGCATCACCTCAACAGAAATGTATTTGATTCACACCTGGGTGTGAGATATTCAGCGGACATGAGATTGGACATGTCTGACTTGGAAAAGAAGGGACTCCCAAGCCGCGTACCATCACCAAATCAGTTTGCCCCATCTTGTCTGCAGCTGCTCGCATGGACTTGATGGAGCCTAGCATGCCTTCACTGGGCCGTCCCCAATGGCTCAAGACCAAGGCATACTTTCCTCACAAAACGCATACCAGAACCACACTAGGCTTGGCAAAGATATGTTCCAACAAAACAGCAAAGTGTACATGCAGCAAAGCTGCCAACACGCAACTTACACCATCAAATCAACACAACTTCTGCATTCTTCCCAACGTCTCTTCTCCTATTCTTGGTGTCCTTCCAATCCAACCCGCCCATGCTCTACCAGAATGTCCTTTGACAGGACCACCTTCAGCACATTTCTCCACATCCAAGCATGGAACATTCCGCACATCCTGCACTCTCACCACAACGGCGCTACCAAGGGATCCATAAGCCATAAGGGCCATATGTAAGGATGTGTCTGATGCACTTGCTTAGAAAGACCTCAGTAGATCACGGGGAAGAAAAGTCCCTGATAGCCTGATATCCATGTGGGAGGATATTGATGTATATAACCCATTGTCCATCACCAGCTCCTCGCTACAGCAGCCTTCGCAGCCAGGCACCAAGGGAAGCTCATGCAGCTGCCAGGCCTTGGCCGCTGCAAAGGCCTTGGAATGGCAGCGACTCGGTGAAATCGGAGGAGCCCGTCTCAAAAGCACTAGTAACAAGTGCATCGCTACTGGTAACAAGGGCATTACTACTAGTAACAAGAAGCTAGTAGTTTCTTGTTACTAGTAGTAATGTCCTTGTTACTGTTCTTGAATTGGTCTCAAGAGTTAAGTGCTTGAGCTGCTTCGGGGCATCCAGTCATGTCTACAGCTTTTGGGAGACGATCGAGCTCGTCCTTTCGGTGCTGATCCTGCTCGTCCTTTCAGGAAGAGGGGATGCCTCACCAAGAATGGGGTCCTCAGGGAATGCCTCAGCACCTGCTGTCTCCTGGTAGAGCCAGAGCTTGTCAAGAGAGCAGTGGTCCAGCCAAAATGGTCTTGTACTTGTCATGCGAGCGTTCACTAGGCACAGCGCTTTATATACATGTAATCCATCTTCACTTTGCAGGAAAAGGAACTACTGTCAACTACTGTTGCATACGCTCATAAATGATAGTTACCACAGAAAACGTCCAAGTGCTTTGTTCAAAAGTCCAAGTGCTTCCACCCAAACTTGTTTGTCCCCCAACAACGCACCACGGAAAACGACAGCCCGAGCGCCGCCCTCGCCTTATCAGGCACTGCTCGTACAGGCGAATTGCTGATTGACACCGTCTCCGTCTTCTTCGCAGCACCTGTCACACCCTCAGCACCTTGAGAACCACCTGTGGCAGCCACACCGGTTGGCGTACTCACAACCGTCGTCTCTGTGAAGAAGGCCTCGGATCGCTCAGGATTGCTTTTGGATTGACCTTCTCGAAAGACCACGAGGCCAAGGCATTCCCTGTTCCGTACATAGCATGAACTCTCCAAGTAGCAGCTATGACTGGGCCTTTCGGCGGGTTCCCCCTCCCCCCCGCACAAAATCCGTGTCCAAGTAGCAGTGACCCTGACAACACCCTGGCCAGCACCCTTGTGCACTCAGCTGGTAACAAAAGGTGGAAGCGCTGAAAACACAGCACTCAGCATCGTAAGCTGGGCAAGTAGAAGGGTGGACCACAAAGTGCCCGCGTTTGGGGATTGGTGTTCAGTGAAACAAGTTCCAAGACCCACCAAATGTCCAAGTTTCTCCGGAGAGGATGCCGCGTGAAGCGAGTATCAATAGGGCCACGATCGCCAGTGAGATGCAAAGCCATCGTTTCCAGCCTGAATCCATGCGCAGGCTTCTCTTTATGTTTGGTCTCATCTGATCTATAGTGTTTCCTGGTTCGACGTGGTTGTTAGATAGAGAAACGTTCTGGCAACACGAAACACGTCAAAACAACGACTGCATTTCATATTGGTAAGACATGGACACAACGCTGAAGACAAATCGGTACACCTCAGATCTTTTAATCAAGTTGTCTAAATGTATGTTCACATACAAAAGAATAAAGCATTTGAGTGTGCACTATTTGCACAGTCGACATTGTCTCCAAATAGTATCTGTGTTTCCAATTGGGCAAGTATTACAATTTTGTTTCTGTGGTTAGTGTCTGCATGAACTGCCAAATTGGCTAGCACTACATTGTTTTTATCATCATCCAAAACAAACGAACTGCTTTAGAATTTCTACCTGATCCACTGATCCATCAGGTATTTAGTGAATTGGATTCACTCAGCACCGTCAATGTCCAAATGCAAGCAAGTCGCGGCAACCTGCCAATGACAACGGTTTAAAAGTTTTTGAAAAAACTGTGCTTGTTTGCCACTGATGGACGTAGTGGCCCGAAACGACCGTTTCAGAGCAATGATGTTTCTTCGCTTCCAGTTAAGCTGCAGTTCATTTCAGGTTCAAAACACATGTTCACATGTCATCCCAACCTGATTTCGACCGCCTTGCCATCAAGCATTCAGCACATTCATTGCCAAAATGTCGTCTAGATTGTGCCCCATGTCGGGCCAACGTCTCAATTCACAGGCTTGCGCGCAAAACACCAAAGACTGACTCAGTTCCCAAACGCAAAGCACTGACCCTTGTCAACTCAACAAACAAATATACGCAGTTGCAACTTGTAGTGTGAAAACTAAATCCTAACAAACTGTTCCGCAAACAAACAGGAACCACTGACTTTGTGGAAATCCGAGCATCCCTGGTTGCAAAACGGGTGATCACGTATCCTGGAAATGAAACAAATTTCTGGCAGCCTATTGTTGGCAATAAAGAAGGAACCGGATCGTTTCACCATTTGGCTCACTCAGTGCTGCTTGTTGAAACAAAACGGAATTGTTTTGCTGCCTCGAACCAAAACGCCCCCAAAGGTTGTTACTACAAACAAGACACAAAAATGCCAATAATGCAAATTTGTTCGGGCTGCATAACTCGCACCGCGTGGCCATCTGAAACCATCTCAAAGGAAGGGGTGCACCCATACGAGTATCTAAAAAAAATATAGGTCATCATGTTTTGCAAAATCATTGTGTTTTTGATTGTTTTTGCGCCTGCGCTTGTACGCACATCGGTATTTGTGAGGGTGTCCAACCCAAGCCTCCGCCCCCTGACATCCTGAGCTGTTGCTGGCTTGACAGCTTTTGTATGTGGGTACTTTGCCAGCTCACAGCAATGCTGCATGCCCAACGCCGTGTGAATTAGGGCGAAAATTTGTTCCATCGTGGCACGCGTGATCAGGGTCACGGCAGCTGCAACTCCAAAGGCTCCTTGTTGCGCCTCGAGGCTCAGTCGATCGTCGGCCATGTTGGCACATTTCAGGTTGAGCGCGTCTTGCGTGCAACGTTGAAACACCAACTGACACGCGACTCCAATCAAGCAAAAGTGGATCGATCATGACCAGCAAGCCAGCAACAGATTTGCAAGAATTTCCACAAAGCCATGTCTGGTTTGAGCTTTGGGTTTTTTCATCTGCGCGCACTGTGGACTGCGCCACGCATCACACAGCTTCAGTTTTCAGGGCTGGTCGGCTTTTCATTTTTGAACAGGAAGCCAAAACTGGTTTCAACTTTTGATGGCATCAAAAGCAATCGGTTTGTGTGAAAACATGGACGCGGCAGCTTCCCTTTTGATCCCGCTCCTTGAGCCAAAGTCTGGACGAGGACATGCCAGTCCTGCAACACGTGGAATTCATCCACCGCAACGATTGCATACTCAGATTGCTTTGGCGCTGACCAACTTGGTCCGCCGTTTTGCCAGATGCAAAGGATCGCTGAATGGTGGGATGGCAGAACGTGCACCCAATTTCACAAAATGGAAGGTACCGGGCTTTAAAAAGAATATTCTCCGACCGCAAACAGGGGATTCAGCACAATTGGCATTAAAGAAACCACAGCACAGAGGAGGCCAGCAAAAGGAACTACACAACACACATGGGCAGGACACAAGAGGCCAAAGACCGCAACTTGCCCAGGTACCAAGCAGGATTCAGACCATCGAGCGGCACCGATGCCCACTCAGAGGGTGGACGGAACCACCACAACGCTCGACGATCCAAAACGGCAGCGTCACTGGCCCATTCTGATGGATGACCACGCCAAGGAGGGGCAGAAGTCACTCTTCAACGCCTTTACAGGGCGCTACCTGAACACTCACAAAACCTGACACATCAGTGGCCTTGGAAAACAAAGAGCGCTAGGCCCCATCTGGAGACATGGGTTTGGAAGGCACGAGTCTTGGCTGCCAGAGACGCAAAGGTCCGTGACTGTGTGTCTGAGGTGTGGCCTTGGATAGTGTTTTACATCATTGTAAGGCCTTCGACAAGCACACCCAATCGGAACAATGTCTGTTTAAGGGCTGCCGAAGTCGCAAGAATGCGAAGGTCAGCTATTGTAGAGATTAAGATCAAAACAAAAACACAAAACCAACAAGAACAACCAAAACCAAAAAGAACCTTAAGCTCAAGCGCAAAGCCGCGTTGAACATGCAGTGACACAAGCTGTCGCTCTTTTTTCCAGCTGGGGTCTTCAGTTGCCTGAGCCTTCGTCAGGCTGCGGGTCTGGCTTGGTGCGAAATGCAGTCTGGCATGCACGAAGTGCTTGCGAACAGGGCGGCTGAGGGCGGGACAAGATTTTTCGAGAAGCAAGAGACATGTGAAGACATCTTGGGTGACAACACATGAGGATATGTCAAAGAACCTGAGAAAGCATCCATGATCACAAGTGTCTGCAATGCCACAATGTAACTGAACCGAAATATCACGAGATCAACGCTTTGCTCGACCGGCTTGCAACTTAACACTAGTTCTTAAGCAACTTACCTTCGGACCGTTACGTTAAGCTCAAGTGCAAAGCCGCGTTGAACACGCAGTGACTCTGACACAAGCTGTCGTTCCTTTTTCCAGCTGGGGTCCTCAGTTGCCTGAGCCTTCGTCACCCCCTTTAAAGCCCAGGCCACTGAAGACTGACCGCAGCTGACAAGTGTCACGTTGCGCACCAAGCTGTGTGAGTAGGGCTAAATCATCACGAGAAGGCCCGTCTGCTATGTTGCTTTCTGTGGGTACTCTGGCGTACCACAGAAAAGGATTAGCCTTAAGCTCGAAATCTAAGATCCGTGACATTACGCCGTGCGCGATGTCTCTAGTGATCTGGCAGCTAATGAGTGAGTCCCTGACGGCGTTGTTATCAATGAATAAGATTATATGCTGCCCAGCAATGAATTGTTTCCACAAGTCGAATGCACACCAG